TGGGTTGTCCCTGGAACCAATGGGGATCGTACCCCAGGTCCAGCGAGCCCTCTGTAAGCACCGTAACGTGATGGGAAGTCTGATGAGACCCTCGGGTAGGGGTGTGACAGCTGGGGCTGAAAATTCTGTTCCGTGCAGTCTTCTACAGGGAATTAGGGTCGAAATCTGCCGTGTGCAGACAAGTCACATCTGATGCTGGGAGCAATGACGAATGTTGACTAATGCGATTGATTGATTGATTTATGTATTTTTTGCCAAAAATCCTTCTTGTCTTAAGGCAATACCATCCACATGGTTTTTTGTTGAGGATTTTATGATAACCAGGTTTTCACTGAATCTCAAATTAACATGAACCTGGAACAATTAATAACCCAAGAGATTTCTTGACTTACCTCCAAGAAGCGCTAACAAGACGCAGAAACGCCAGGATGTTGCCATTAGTGTTGATGCGGAAGCAGGTGAGGGACACAAACGCAAAGGAAGAGTTTGGGGCAGGGGAAGAGAACAGAGCAGGAGGCCCAACACAGCACCCGCCCATCCTCCATGTGGGCTGGAACCGAAACCTGCCCGCGGAAGGAGGTGTCCGCGGAGGAGCTAGTAGAGTCCGGGGAAAGAGCGGGTCAGGGACCAGTGGCCAGCCAGCAGTCTACAGAAACACTTGCAGAAAGTCTCGTGTCCGTGCCAGCGGTGAAGGCAGCAGGGCCAATAAAGAGGAAAATGACGGTTTCTAGGCTCTTGCTCTCATCACTGTGAGTCTGCACTGGTTCCATGTCGTTACCGACCGTAGAGGATCCAGAAACTGCATCCCTGAACATCTCATCGAGGCTGTTGGGTCTGCGTTTCCCCTGGAGGCTTTCAAGCCCTGAGAGGTCTTTCTTGGTTCCCCACTCAAAGTGGACACTCCTTCTGGGGTTTGGTACTCAGAGGCACTGCTCTAGCCCCTATGTTACCCCACCCTACACCTGTCACCCCATCTGTTGGGTCCTCCTGTCACAGGCAGCCCCTCAGCATTGACCCAGAGAGAAGGGCTGGACCTTAATTTGCTTCCCGCCTGTTCGTTGAAAAACCTGCTACATTCTCTTGACCTGGTGATCATGGGTGGTCCCAGGTGACCTGGTGATCCTTTGTGTCTCAGGCGACCTGGTGATCCTCTGTGTCCCAGGTGACCTGGTGATCACCCGTGGTTCCAGGTTTGCTGCCCGCTTAATCTCAGCAGGCAGACCCTCCTTTGAATGCCACTGTCCTGGAGATGAGAAGAGTGGAGAGCAGTCACTCAGTAATTGTTCACTAAGTTCAGCTGAAGCTGGTTGACTTGGCTTGTACTGCTTCCAGCGCGTGAGGCAGTGATGGCAAAGGCAGTCTTGCTGGGAGAAGCGCCCTGGGGCAAGTGCCCTACTGGCTCCACTTTACCCTTTGGGGCGGGTTGTAGACACGACAGGTTCTTCCTGTGGCCCCACCGATCCCGGTTCTCTGGTTTACGGCAGAGGCAGGAACTCTTTCCCGGGCTTGTGCTTGTGACCGCGCTCATACCCGTCCTTCAGTTGCTTTCGAGATCATTCCCGCCCGTGCCCCAGCGGGTGTGTGCCCTTCCCCGATGCCCTCACCGTGCGTCTGTTCCCTGACCCCCAGGGTGAGTCTCCTCTGCAGATTCAGCAAAGGCACTTCGAAGCCGCACTTACTTTCCAGTGGGCTCTGATTTAGAAAGTTCTCACTGCGGAACTGCGTGTTTCTTGGCGCGATCCCGTAGCATAAACAGTGAAAAAAAAAAAAAAAAAAGTCTTAAATCAGTGTCACGGAGGGAAAATCCAGCCACATGAATACGTAAATCGTTTAACCCATTTCTTCAGTGTTTGGGTTTTGTTCTAACTTCCCCCCGGCTTACACCCTCGCGTTCTACTAAGCAAAGTATAGACCGTGTTTTTGACGCATTTGCCCCAGACCTACGACCTGTGCTCTGTGCAGGATCGCGTGGGCGCCCTCCGTGACTTCCTCCCCCATGTCCTTGCGCATGGGCACACAGCGCCACGTTGTCAAAACACAGACATGGGGACCCCCAGCACTCTGAGGTCTCTCTTCGTGTCCCTTGGTATCTGATTTCTTACTAAATTTGGCAAATTACCTTTTATCTTAACTAGTTTGAAGACCCTCTAGCAAGTTCTTTTAATAAACAGTGAATTCTTTAAAAGAGGGCTGTTTTATTTTCCTTTAATGGGGTTTGTTTGTCAAAGAACAAACAGCCCAGGTAGAAGCTCATTGTCCTCCATGCACTGTCTTCCTCGGAATGTAACTGCTGTTGGAAGTGAGAAGGGGGAGAAACGTGTGTCAAGTGCGTGTTCTCTTATTTCTGACAAAGGAAAGCTCCCCTGTTCGTTCTGCACCATTAAATTATCAGGAATTATGGTCCAATTCCAAATGCCAGAACGCTGAGCCTTCTTTCTTCTATTGTAAGATGTAGACGCCATCTCTCTCCTTAGAGAAAGTGATGACTGCAGTGTCTTACCGTAAGGAATCTTGGGGTTTCAGGAGATGCAGATAGACCCTCCTTCTAGGCTGGACTTAGGGATCGGCGTGGCCTTTGGGCAGGGCCAGTCCGGTGGGCTCTCGGTTCACCTGTGCTCTGTCTCCCATCTCTGTCTATCTCTGTTAGTCTCTGTTTGTCTGTGTTTCTGTCTTTCTCTGTTTCTTTCTCAATTTTTCTCTATCTCTCTGTCTCTGCTCTCTCTGTCTTTGTCTCTGAATGTCTCTCTGTCTCCCATCTCTGTCTGTCTGTCTCTCTGTACCCCCGTCTGTCCCCCATCTGTCTCTTTGTCTCTCATTTGCATGACGCTGCCCTGTGGGGGCCCAGCTGTGCGTGTGAGAGGAGCTTTGCGGGAGGAGCGAGGTGCGCGGGAAAGCTCTGGGGAACTGGAGGCTGCGTTTAGGCGGACGTGCTCCCCGAGTTTCCCTGCTGTGAGGTGTCAGCACATCCCAGGAGCTTGGTGGCCCCGGGCTGCACCTCTGAGCTGGAAAGTTCAAGCACATTTGGGCAAAGGGAAAAAAACTGGGACGTAAAACTCCACGGGGACAGAATTCCATCAAAAGATTGTATGGGCTTGCCTTGCCCATTTTTGAATAAAAGAACAACGTTCTGCACATCATGAGAAAGCAGCGATCTGTCTCCACGTGTCTCTCGGCTGAAGTGAGCCCCAGCAAGTTAGAACAGCGCGTTCCTGCCATGGCCCCAGGCCCCACACGGGAAGACCCCGCTGCCTCCTGCTGCTGGCACCTGTCTCCCGGCTGTAGCCTTCATCCGGACATCGGGCACAGGACCACCTTCCCCAGCCCCGGCTGATGCTCTGAGATGTCCGAGCTGCGCCTTCCTGGCCCCGGTGTGCTCAGCCCTTCCCTCCCAGTACCCCAACCGGGGGCGCCAGGCCCTGCCCGGACTCCCTATGGGGTCCGCCCCCGCTCGGGTCCTCCCTCCCTCCACGTTCTGTCTCCGCATCAGCTCTGGGTTACTCTGGAAACAGTGCCGGCGAGGACCCCAGAGCCTTCCGGGGAAGCATGGCACCTTTTAAACAACGACCTATTGAGGGGGGTGCGGACCGAGTGCGGCACCAGGGGTGGTGCGTAAACAAGGATCTTGGAACACTGAGAACATAACATAAAATAAAGTAAACCCAGAAAAACAAAACAAAAACAAAAAAAGAAAAAAAAGAGGAGTGAAGTATCTAAAATTTGAGAATTTCCTTTTTTTCTCGTCCTGAAGAGGGAACAAGTGGACGGGACCCTCTATCTCCATAAATATCGCTGGGACAAACGATGCCAAAAAAACCTGTTCAGTGCGCACAGCACTCAGAGGGCCAGCAGCCCCCAAGCAGTACGCGGTCATAGCCACAGTTCTGGGCACCCGGGGGGCTCTGTCGGTGAAGCCTCTGCCTTCGGCTCAGGTCGTGAACCTGGGGTCCTGGGGTGGAGCCTCACATTGGGCCACTGCTCAGAAGGGAGTCTGCTTCTCCCTGTGACCCTGCTGCTCCCGTGGCTTTGCTTTCTCTGTCTCAAATAAATAAAATAAAATAAAATAAAATAAAATAAAATAAAATAAAAAATAGCCACAGCTTTCGGTTTCCCACTTTCTCCTTCCTTGCTTTCCCTTAACGAATTGCTAATGCTCCAGAAGTCAGAGAAAACCCCGTGGGGCAGGGGGTACACCAGGGTCCAAAAAGTGGGTGGAGATTCCGTTTACCCCATGTGCAAAGCCTTCCCGAGTGCCGCCTTCCTGCTCGCTGCTCTGCCGGTGAGATGGGGGACCGGACAGGTCAGACTGGAATTGTCCTCCGAGGCGGGAGAGGGGGCAGACGGGCCCCTGGGAGACATGGCTGGACCTGTGGGGTCGTGTCAGGGTACCAGAGCGCCAGGGCAAGCACAGGGACCCTGGAGCGGGCGACGGGAGCATGGCGGCCGCTGAGGGGCTGTGGACGGTCCCGGGGGCTTCCTCGCGCGGTCCTGCGCTCGCGGGCGCCTGCAGTGCTGGGTGAGGGCAGGCCCCGCCATCGGTGTCCACGTAACGCTGGGTGGTGTGCGCACGTGTGTGGTGCTGCTGGCCGTGTCACGGCAATCCGCGGCCTCCCCCGGCCCGGCGTCTGTGCAGAAGACGGCCAGCTGGTTCCAGCAAGGACCCGAGAAGGGGTTACCTGCCGGACCTTCCCCTCTTGACTCATGGGAGCAACTTCTGGGGGGCGCAAGACGCGGCGCGTGCGGGAGGGACTTGCCAGTGAATTCACGACAGAGAGCGCGAGCGTTGAGGGTCAAGCAGAGCTCCCGCGCGTCCGAGCCGTGTGCACCCCTCAGCGCGGCTGGCTTGAGGGCCTGGCGGCCCAGGGCTCGGGGCTTCAGGGACCTCTGCTGCGTTTTGGGCCTCACTCCGCCGACTGCGTGGCCCCGGGCAGACTTCTGTTTTCCGCGACTCTGCGGGACGCCTCTTTACGTCTCTCTGGCTTCTTGTTTTTCCCTCCCCCAAGTTCCTGCGAGTCGATCAAGATAAAGACAAGGACTGCAGCCTGGACTGTGGGGGCTCCCTGCAGAAGCCCCTGTGCGCGTCGGACGGCAGGACCTTCCTGTCCCGCTGCGAGTTCCAGCGTGCCAAGTGCAGAGACCCTCAGCTGGAGATCGCGCATCGAGGAAACTGCAGAGGTAAGGGGGCGGCGGCCAGTAGCACGGACGGCCACGCACGTTGTTTTCACCTTTTGCTAATTTTTATACGCAGAAGCTGAAAGATTTTTGGTTTGTGGGACTTTTTCGTAGTGTATAGAAGAGTAATTTCTGTGACTCCCAGGAGCAGAGGCATTTTTGAAGCTATTTAATGCTCTTTCCTTGGGGTATTTGACCAGGACACGTGCTGCTCTGAGTGTCCCCGGGGGCCGTCCGGCTTCCTCGCATCCTTGTTTCTCCTTCCAGCTCGTGGGACCCACACAGCACCTGCACCCGCTGTCTGTGACTGTCCTTCCCATTGATGTTTCACGTGTAATTTCTGATTGTCCTGATTCAAGAATCAGATTTCGGTGTAACCAGCACAAACACTGAAATCCTTCCTATGTTAATGAAGGGTTTGACTCGGCAAAATACGCTGATGTTTCTGCACAAACAGTTGCGTTCAAAAGGGATTTACCTTCTTTATCCTGTTAGCTAAGAGAAAAGACCAGAGTACAGCCGCCTCTGAGACGCGGTTCTGCTCCGTCTCCGTGTTGGCCCAGCAGGCCCTCAGCAAGGTGGAACTCCCTCGCCACAGCGGGCCGGGTCTCGGCTCCAAGCCTGGCCACGTTCTGAATCACCTGCTCATCCTTCCTTCATGAGACGATCGCGGTACCCGAGGTGAACACGTTCCGGCCGTTTCTGCACGTGACTAAGTTGGCACCTTGCCTGCTCCTGCGGAGTCCCCTCCTTGGCCCCACGGGAGAGCTCTGCCCGCAGACCCAGGCTCCCACGGTGACCAGCACCGGCGCCAACGCTGGGGCCATGGGCTTGCCCGAGACGGGTCCTGTCCGCAGGCACCGCACGCCGGAACTGGGACCTGGGTGTTGCCCATAACTGGCAGTCACATGTTCACGAGGGCTTTCTTTCCACCATCGTGCTTTGTTCAGAGTCCAAGTGTTTTAGACCCTTAGCATTTAAAAGCCCCAGAGGGGCCCTAGTGTGAGCCAAGGTGCGTGGGAGGCCCTCTGGCCAGAGACGCTGGGAAAGTCCTCTCTGTGAGGGGACAGCAGAGCACTGCCCACTGAGTCCCTTTCTTACCCTGTGGTTGGGTGCTGCTCCCCGAGTGGGAACCGCACAGAAGTTGTGTCTCCTTTTTGTGCAGGGAGCCACGCCCCCACTGCTGAGGCCGAGCAGAGACATGAGGATGGGGGACACGAGAGGGGGACCACCCTAAGGAGCGCTGGACTGGGGGGGGGGGCTCTGCTCTTACTTAGCGGGAAATGGGAAGCCCTGGGGAGTTGAGACAGAAAAGGGACGGGTGCACGCTGACTTGTGCTGAGATGGCGCCCCTCACGGTGCCACGCCCCCTGCCTCCCTCGTGGCTGCGCCGGTCCTTGGCCTGGGCACACAGGCTCTGGGCATCTGCCGGGTTGACCCTGGCAAACCTCCCCTGGACCTGCCCCCGGAGGGACGCGCGAGGTTAAGGGAGCAGCTGCTGCTGGCAGGACACGTGGCTTTAATTCCGTTTCAGTAAGTTACTGCGGTTATGAAAATGCGATGAACAAAGTATTTGATTTTACTTGAAAGGAAGGCTCTGCGGTGGGGGTGGGGTCGCACTGGGGGGTCGCACCCGGGTCCGAAGACACTGGGGGTCTGAGGCCACCGCCCACCCACGGGGCGCACAGGAAGGCTCTTCTTCCAGTGCCGGCTCCTCGGACAGCAGCATTTGCAGGAGAGAGCTGTAATTTCAGTGAACAAACCCCGTACGATTTTACTTCATTCACAAACATAGTTTTAAAATGTTGAAGCACAGATAGGAAACATCTTTCATAGAAGAATGCTATGAAAGGTGAGATAATTCAAATTAGTGGCATTTGAAATTATGTTGCGGAGTCACATATATACGCGCACGTACCTCCCACAGTGAAAACTACCTCGAAAGGGCACGCGTGGAGGCAGCCGCTGGGTTCTTGGGGCAGCCAGGACTCGCCCTGCCTCTCTTTGTGGGATGGAAGGAAGCAATGCATATCTTTATAAAAAGAGTTTTGTAGATGAAAAATGATTCTTTCTCCTTAAATATCCTTCCCCAGTTGTAGAAAACAGAACATAATTTATCAAATCCCATCCATCCGGGTTCCCAGGGTTCGGCATGGTCCTCGAACCTGTTTTCCCAGTGGCCGTTAGGTTTCGGCGAACTGTGCTGTTTCTGATTCCTTTGGAGAAAACAGACATGAAGGACGTCAGATGGTCTTGACAGAGACCCAGACACACGCGAAACCTTTGTTTCTCAAGCGAATGGTTGATATTCCTGAGGCAGCTTCGCTCTGTCTGGCTCTAAAGTCACCGCTCAGCGCCCGCTGAGCCGTTCCGGGATTCTGGTCACTCGGTGCCAGTGCGCCACAGAGACGTGGCCGCTGGGCTCCCACCGCCGCAGCGAGCGAGCTCCGCAGCAGCACGAGGCCGATCGATGCTCTGGTTTCCTGGTGTGCACGTGAGTTCTGTCTACACTACCCTGCGGTCTACAAGTGTATAAAAGCATTGCGTCTAAGAAAACAACACACGTATCTCACTTACAGAACATGTCGGTGCTGAAGGATGACAGCCCTCATCTGAGCTTTCGGTAACGCGTGTGACCACAGACCGCCGCGTGTCATAACCACGAGAAGGACTGAGATGTTGCGCGAAGCACCAAAATGTGGCTCAGAGACAGGAAGTGAACACGTGTTGCTGGAAACATGGCGCTGGCTGACTTCTCGGTGCTGGTTTGCCACGAGACTTGGGTGGCAGTGTATCTGGGAAGCGTGATGAAGGGAAGCGAGGCAGGTCTGCGCCAGGACACTTGGGAAACCAGCGTTCCTTGCTATGAGTGGCTCCCTGAAGAGTCACCGGGATGAGAATGAGTGGGCTTCACCTCTAAGGTGACCTCCTGGCCCTCGCCTGCGCTTGATTGACTTCTGGTTCCGTGGCACCCAGGGCCTCTGTAAGAACTTGCGGGTCATGACAGCATCGTCTAGGCTGAGGACAGCCTCCTCCCTGCTCTACGATGGCCCGTGTGAGACTGTCCAGAACCCCAGAGGCTCCGGCCCCCAGCTTTCCTCTGACGATCTCTCACGTGGGTTTCAGAGACCTGTAGTGACTGGACAGCTCACACCTCACGAGGCAAAGTGACACAAGGGTCTCCTGGGCCCAGAGGGAGCTCACCCCTCACGGGGACCACGAAAATAGGACGCCCAAAGCCTCCCAAACTGAACCCCCAACACTAGAAATTTGTTACTGTGCCTTCGACAAAGACTGAATTAGCCCAGATATTTGGAGATGAAACAGTCTTTGAAGAAGCAATGTTTAGACCCCAGGACTCCTGCGTGTCAGGAACCGCCGTTCCTGCGTTGTTCAACATCGCTTTTCTACACAAATCGCCCGTGGCGTTCTCACACACTTTACTGGGAAGGACAGGCGCCCCGACGGGTGTCCAGGGACTAAAATGATTTGCATTTTTCTGGATCTGTCTCCTGGGGCAAGGGAAACAGAAGCCAAAATGAGCTATTGGGATTTCCTCAAAATAAAAAGCTTCTGCACAGCGAAGGAAACAGTCAATAAAACTAAAGGCAACTTACAGAATGGGAGACGACATTTGCAAATGATGTGTCCAATAAGGGGTTAGTTCCCAAATGTACAAAGAACTTGCACAACTTAAACCCAAACCCCAAATAATCCAGTTAAAAATGGGCAGAAGACACGAACAGACATTTCTCGAAAAAAGACAAACGGCCAGCACATGAGCAGATGCTCAACATTGTTGATCATCAGGGAAATGAAATGAAATCAAACCACAGAGAGATCTCCCCTCACACTGTCAGGACGGCTAAAATCAACAAGACAGGAAACAACAGGTGTTTGTGAGGACGCGGAGAACGGGGAGCCCTTGCGCACTGCTGGTGGGAACGCAAGCTGGTGCGGCCACTCTGGGGAACAGCCCGGAGGGTCCTCAGGAAGTTAAACAGAGCTGCCCTATGGCCCAGCAATCGCACTCCTGGTATTCACCCCCCAAAATACAGAAACACTAATTTGACGGGATATGTGCACCTGATGTTTGTAGTAACAATGTCCACGATCGCCAGACTCTGGGAGCCACCCAAGTGTCCACAGATGTGTGTGTGTGTGTGTGTGTATGTGTGTGTGTGTGCGCGTGTGTGCGTGTGCGTGCGCACGGCAGAACATTACTCTGACATAAAGGCGAAGGGAATCTTGCCGATGCAGCTCGAGGGGATTACGTGGAGTAAAACCGGTCGGTCAGAGAAAGGCAAATACTGTACGATCTCACTCATGTGAGGACGCCAGGAAACAAGATAAATGAGCGAAGTAAAGTTTGTGAGAGAGAAACCAAGAAGCAGACCCGAAACCACACAGAGCGCACAGATGGGGACCAGAGGGCAGGGCCGGGGGGCGGGGAACAGGGGTGAGGACGCGGGGTGCGTGGACGCCGATGGGCGGAGTGATGTGCGGAATTGCTGGACTCACCCGTGCGCCGCGGCTGCAGCAGCTGTCCTGGAACTTAAAGACGCGACTGGCCGTGCGCCACGGAAGCAGCAGGTCCACGGCTTCCAAGTGGCTTCCGCGGAGAAGCTGGCATGTAGGCCCTCCTCTTCCTTCCCCTTCTGTGTCTAGTTCGTGTGTCCCGGTTCTAAACACATCGATCTGAGAGAAATCCGGATACCTTGATTGTAGTTTTGCCCCTCCGTTATCTGTGCTGACACAGGAGGAGTGATCTAAGAAGAAGTTCCAGTATCAGACGCCCTGGTCTTCAGAGAAGGATCTAGAAGCAATCAGCTGTGCTGGCATCGCTTGTGGCAACGTGCCACGGAGGTGGCGGGTACCAGTTGAGTTAACGGTCCTGCGTCTGGCATGCTCCCTTAGACGACGGCCATCAGCTGCGGTCTCGGAAGGCCGCGAGGAAGCCGCCAGGGGAAGCCTCTGGGCTAACGCTCGTGCTGTGGGCACCC